CGATATATTTTCATTCTACACTTCTAAACAAAATTTATTTCGTCTTCTCATTCCAGAAATAAACTCAACTAAATCAGTGATTCATCACGACTGGGTAAGTTACTTTTCCATCAATATTGACTTTTGGTGGTGTGGAAATAATTTCGGTGAAATCAAAATTTTATTGCTAAATCAGTTTAAGAAATTTTAAAACACCGAGACACCAATTCCACAGCACAGTCTGATTTAAGGGAGGCCACATGACCTCCTACATAGGAAAAATCCAAATCAAAGCAATGTTTAAAAAAGTTCAAATTAAATTATTCAATTTTATTGCAATATGTATACAATCATGTATACAATTCATGTATAAAAATTCTTTGAATTGAAAAGTTTTGAAATGATCTAAAATTGACTCAGTATGTTTTAAAGAAAAAAGTCATAAGACACAAATCAGTTATTATTGACTTTTGAGTGAACACATATTTTGAATATATGATAAAGAGAATACCACTTAAAACTAATATCATATGTTATATCAGCCCTTTGGGGCCCATATCTGCCTTTGAGCCTTCATCTCTTGTTGTAAAATGAAGTCATTCGGGATTTGTAGCATGCAATATTTTTTATGCAATGAATAATATGCAACTTTACATTTTAGGAGATTCGCAGTAACTGCAATAACGATACCGACTTCCAGTCTTCCACCGATAGTTTGAGTGGATATTGGATAATTCCTGAGGAAACTCTATTCTTTACACCTGATATGTACTATTCAATCGAAAGACAGTCACCATATGGCGGTATGTCATTACATGTACTAGTGTTTCACTTACACCATCAACTATATCTTTTATGTAGAAAAAATAGCAGTGAGGGTGTTTTTTGTGCCAGCACCTACTGCAACAAAGGACTCATCCGAAGGACCGGTTTCCACGTCCCACAGTGAGATTCAAACCCTCGACGTAAGGATCAACAACTTACTTTGCAACTCTAGAGCAGACCCTTTTATCACTGCGCCTTGCGGGCGACTACAAGGATTTGAAGTCAAGCTTTTTGTAAATTCTTTTAAGCCGACTTGTTATATATCATTTGTTAAACCATTGTTTTATACTGAACTTTACCAGGGAAGTTCCGTCTACATGATCAATAAATAGGATTCACAGCGGATGTTACCAGTAGACAGGGGATGCTTACTTCTCCTAGGAACCTGATCTCACCTCTGAAATTTCAATGGGTTACAGTGCTTGTGCCCCCTTTCCAGAATTTTTTGTTTAAGGAATTCTCTTAGACCGATCACTGTTCGTTATCTTCACTCTTTATTTTTTTACTTTTATCCTTACTTTGCATATATAAAATTTTTTAAGTACTATTTAAAATCATCTCCATACGTTTTCCAGATGATTGGACTGTCTTTCAAGACTTTACATACAATCATGGTCATCAGCAGGCACATGTAACTGGACTACTGTTAGATCCTGGTAAGTGGTATCGGTTTGTGGTGAAACTTTGCGCTACGGATATATGTTACTTGCCGATGCATAGCAATGGCGTGATGATCCTAGCCAATCCACCCGTAACCGGTGAATTGAGAGTTGTTATTGAAAATTCATCATCTACCGAAAAGGTAAGAGCAATGATAAGTGCGTGACCAGTAAATTTATTTCGCAATCAAGATTTTCTGAAGTGCGTGAAACTTTTCACATTTTCGTTCTTCTCAAATTTATGTGTGCCCATGGAAGGATGTTTTTTCAAAATGAGCACTTTTTTTCTGGTAAAGAACAGAATGGTCAAAGCTAATCAAGTGAGCGATGTGGCCCATGGGCCTCTTGTTTCATTTCGTGTAATTAAGTCAAAATAAATATATTTTAGTCCTTGAACTTTTGTTTCGATCTAGCTAAAGGTTTTCATGGATATGTTTGCGGATCCAGACATACAAATACCCAAAGAAAAATACGGTGTTATAAACAGATATGAATGGGCGATAACAGATCAATCAGATATTGGGAGACTTCACACTCCTTTGCATGATCTTAAAAATTATACAGTCAAAACTGGCCAATTTCATGTAAGTATTCCCTTCATTTCAATAATATTCATTCTTACAAAAATATTGTAAATGTTTAGTTTTTGTTTATATAATAATTTAAGAATAGTAATTTTATTTAATTATACAGTAATGTTTCAGTAATACAGATAGATTTAATATACAGATGAGTGTTATACACTCATTTATGTTTGTCTATTAAAATTCAGAATGCTCATACTACAGTCTTTAAGAATAACAAAAAAAATCGGTTTACAGTACAAATAGGTTGTATGACATAAAAGTAGAATTCTGTTTTTAAATTTTGATTTTGATGATTGGTATAAACTATAATCTGTATAATTCACACAAAACTCTCTTCCTTTTTAGGTTTGATTTATATTATATTTAATAGAGGTTTGGATTATATCAAAAATAGCAAATATAATAATTTTTGCATGATTATTTTCAGCTTGAAAGTTGTATAGTTCAAACGAGTATAGCTTAATCTCTGGAGTAAAACTTTTACTGTTTACTATGATGCTAATTAAAGACCTCGATCGTTTAAACATTTTAAATATGTCATCACTACTAAATCTTAGAATTTTTGACATATTGTAGATGGAATTCACCATACCATTAACTGGAAATTTGGACTTTTCGAAATGTCGTCGATTGACAGTGCGAGGATACAACAAAGCGGGACTTTACTCCACAGTTTCCGCCGATATCAGGGACTGTAGCGCTTTTAACCCTCTGCTTATTAAACCGAACATTGTCATTGACGCTGTTGGGGCACAAGATCCAAGTAGAGGTTTTTTATTTATTTATTTAATCCAGAAATTTTCGGCACCATCACATGTAGTAAAATATTTTGCTGCAGTAATTTGCAGTGATTGATTTAATGAAATTGGACAAATATTTTTCCCTAAATAATTTGTTTGATTTCTTTAATAAATTAAACTGTAAATCGTAAAAAATAATTGATTGATTGTTTACTACCAAACGCCGAGTTTGCAATATCTTAGACATATTTTGGTGGAGGCAACAAAGGATTATTTTGCATACTTTCTGTTTTCTTCCAATAAGACCCTGCATTTATTAGTTGCGTTCAAAGGACTTTTAAAAGCAACTTTTTCATCTATGAATGCAATTTATTTTCATACCCACACAGTACAAGGAAATCCAAAAGAAAATTGTGTAAAGAAGTACAGCTGTATATATCAAACAAAATCAGTTGTGCAAAAGGAATAAATCTTAGATTTTAATTATATTCTCTGAAGTACAAAAAGAAATACGTAAACTGTCATTTTTTTAAAAATTAGTTAAATTTTTGAAATGTTTGTTCTGGAGCTATCAAATCTTATCGAAAAGGACCAAGAATGATTAAATTGCACAGAAGTGTTAATATTGGTGATTACTTTTATCTAAGACACACATTTTTTTTTCAAGATGGATATGGTGAGGCTATTCTTCTACAAACAAATGCTCGATGGACCTATCCTGATATGGACTACACACCAAGCAAGAACTATATATCAGCTGTATGGCCTTCCCTACGCTATAGGTCCTATACTGTAGCAGTAATCAAGGCCAGAAATATTGATATTACTACTTACTACAAACCTTTAACCTCTTTGTCACTCAGGGATCCGTGTAGCCATCCAGATGCCATCAAATGTGAAAAAACAGGTTTGGACCTATAAATCATGTCTTTTATTAGGTTAAACATGTTCAAAAGGAATTATGGATTCATCATCACCTTAAGAGGAATAATATGATGATGGTAAAGTTATTTAAAATGTGCATTAACGCGCTTCATACAATATGCTAGCGTCGAAGACCATGTCCTCTTTAATTCTCAAAAAATTAATAAATAACCATTAACGCAAACTGCAGCAGTAGCAATGATAATATCCTGTATGCACAGTATCTTGATTTAGTGATTTTATTTTCACCTTATTGATATTTTAATGGAATGATTTAATAACTACCCAAGATATACTGGTATACTGATATAACCTGGGTTGGAATAACTTAAGCTTTCCTTATAAATCGCTTGACGCTTAACTTTGGTCGCTATTATAAAGTCATTGTTTAAAATACTTATATAGTTGAATCATCACACTTCTTCTTACAACCAAAATTGTGTATATTACTTTAATTTATTTTTATTTTTTTTTTATTAGAGCACGAATTTATCAATGTTAAGTTTAATGACGGTGAACTCGAACACGGACAGCGTTATATTGTATGCATTCATACGGAATATACTGAAATTAAACATGAGAAATGGACACAAGTTCTACCAGAAGTAAATGAGTGCAGTGATGGTATTGTGGTGGATCTCACGCCCCCGTCAACAGGAAAAGTTTGGATTGGGAAACAAGGACAGCAATACCAAGTTAATTTCAGAATATTTTAAATTTTTCTTCACCTTTTTCATTTAGATGGGATACTTTCTGTCAAGATGATTTTTATATGTGTAATGAAATAGATTTACGTAACCTTTGCTATTATGGTATTGCAGATATCCACAACTGATATGTACGTATCATGGGAATCGTTTGAAGATGTTGAAGAATTTCAGACAATTCCTCATGCATTCGGAGTCCAGAATTACCAGCTTGGAATTGGTTATTAAACCATGAATGATATTTTTAAAAATAAAGATCATGTTTAATACATCATAAACTACAGGTATTTTATGTGTCAATAAACTATATTCAGGTACCACTGTTGGCGGAAGTGACATCGTTGCATTCATAGATGTTGGCGTTGTCAACCACAAGGCTATCCACGGTCTAACCCTTCATAGTGGCCACACGTATTATGCCACAATAAAGGGTAATGCATCTAGGGTTTAAAGTTATCAAACAGTATAAAGGACAATATCCTTCACTGAAGAGTAAATTATCATACAACTAAAATGACAATATCATGGGTTTTGAATTCTAGTAATTAAATTCATATAATTTCAGCAACTGATTTTGCCAATAGAACAACTGTCCAATCATCCTCGCCCGTCACCGTTGATACCAGCTCTCCTGTAAAAACTGATAAACCGATAATTATAACTGGTCGTCATATTGCATCTTACTCGGAAATCGAAGCATGGTATACTGTATTATAACATTAAATCATGCCTAATTTAAAAAAAATACATTCAAATCATAACAGTAACAGATTTATCTCCAGATTTTTTCATTTATCTTGTAACAAAGAGAATGGGTTTGTAAATTATTATTCGTGATTATATACTTAGGAATAAGATTCTTTAATCATTCATTTAGTTGATTACTTTATTTATGTGTCAAAACGCCAAGAAAGATTACAATCATGTCAAGAAAGCTTTGATCTATTTTATACTTTACAGCTGGAAGGGTGTGTTTCTAGACCCAGAGAGTGGTTTAAACTTCTATATGTGGGCTATTGGCTCCAAACCAGGACACTCCGATATAATGGGCTTCACCCGCGAGGATACCGAATGTGGAATCAACAAAGAAACCAATAGATTCGATGTCAAAGAAGGACATGCATACTATATATCTGTCAAGGTTTACTATCATCGTAAAACTATCATTCTAGAATAATGAATTGTATGCATTTCATTTTCTTAACGCATCAATATTTTATGTATTCAGGCCTTCAACAAGGCTGTACTTATGTCATTAGCGACCTCCTGGGCCATAACAGTTGATCTCTCCCCTCCTATCCAAGGTCAAGTGCTAGAGATTTCGCCATCAGGAAGTAATGCAGTGGACATAGATTATCAAACCGATATGTCCAGATTAACAGTTGTTTGGACGGGGTTCGATGACCCTCATTCGTCAATCAAAGATTTTTCTGTTGCTGTTGGAACATGTCCTAGTTGTGATGATGTCATTGGATATCAGAATGTTGGTCTTGTAGAAGGTGATGCATAGGCTTATTGTTTGAACTATTATTTATGTCAATTGCTCGATGAACTGCCGATTTATAATTTAAACTATCGAATTTTTCAGACTTCTTATCATACCAATTAATCGCTTGACAACCAAAACACTTAAAAAAAGAAATGTAGAAGTTGTTTTTCTTTTCTTTTATTTTAGAAATGACGGTAGATTACGTCCATTTTGGTTCGGGTTTAACCTACTATACGTCGGTAACAGCCTGTAACACCGCAGAGTTTTGTACCACAGCTTACTCTGATGGCGTCATCATGGACAATAGTCCTCCAAATGTGGGAGTGGTTACAGATGGAACTTCTGCTAATGATATAGAATACCAGTCTATTAAGTGAGCAGATGTAGAACATTCAAACTTGATTATAAATTTCAAATTTAAAAAATGGGTTTTCTTATCTTGAGTAAAATGCCTGCATTATCTTTAATGGCAATAGAAATTGGATTGGTGCCACGTGGAATGGTTTCACTGACCCCCAGTCAGGGATATCCCACTATGTTTGGTGGGTTGGGACCAGTCCTGGGGGGAAAGACATTTTACACGAGAGAGAAGTACATTTAGTTGAAGAGGCATCAGCGTATAATTTTTCACAGCAACTACCATTGTCAAAGCGTATATACATAACAGTCAGAGCATATAACAAAGCAGGTACCTAACAAAAAGGTCTTTAGCCACTCGTTTTAAATAAATGTTTACTGTTTCATTAGGGAACATTGATAATATTTTAATATGTATTTCAGGATTGTTTGCTGACGGTGTGTCCAATGGATTCATCGTTGATGAAACTCCTCCTGAAATAACAAGTGGTCCAAAATTCTCTAGAAAGTTTGGGCTTGTTGAAAATACACAATTTTATAGATCAGCAGTAAAAGTTGAGTGGAAAGTAGAAGATCCTGAATCACACATAGAAAGACAGTACCTGTCATTGAAATCTCACATCGGTGGTGAATTTAATTTGTCCTCTACCCAAGTAAGCTGAATCTTCATTGAACTGTGTCTTAGCCATCCTTCGATTTATTTGTATTGTTAAAGCAGGAAAAAGACCTTTACTCTTGTTCGATAGGCAAATGGAATTGCAAGAGATTTTGTACTCACTGGTCTTAAATTGCATGATGGAGTTACTTACTACGTCAACCTTATATCCTGTAATGGAGCTCAAATGTGTTCCTCAAGCACTTCTACTGGAATTCAAATTGACAGTACTCCTCCTAGCCGAGGTAAGCTAAATGTAGTTTTTGTTTAGCAAAAAAGTTTTATTTTTCATCGGATTTGATATCAATAGCGTTCTTCTGTGCACAAGGTATGTTTGCGGTGCAGACCGACCATGCTGTTGACGTAGAATTAAGTCGCCATGTTTCTGGTTTCATGACGTGGTGGAAATATGCAGTGAACCTTGCCTGGTTGGGATTTTCTGACGCTCACTCGGATATCACACACTACTTTTTCAATGTTGGTTCGTCATTCATGGGAGCTGATCTGAACGCTGTGAGAAATTATGATACTTTTACTTTGGAAATTCATAGATTCATATATTAAATCAATTCTGAATACTTTTAATTTCCCTTGGAGAAAAAATTAAGCATTTTATTAATGTATTTGCTTTTGTGCTCATCTAATATTGCTTGTAAAACAATTTGAAGCCTGTTAATGGACCTATCGCTGCAGAAATGAAGGGTTTTGTTTTCAGCTAGAACCAGTTCATATTGTTATTTGTATTCTATTGAAAAAACACTTTTGACTTATGAAGAACAGAATTATCAGCATTCATCTGATTTTTTAATTACATTTTGACAAATTATAAAGGTTATCTTTTTCATGTTTGACCTATCACATAAATTATAATGAAATTCTAACAGCAGTTGAAAAATTAGGGTTCCCTAAAGTTCACCCCTTATAACTTATTTTTAAGGTCCTTATCGTAAACTGTATTTACTTCACTAAAATGATGTGTCCAGATTTAGAACATGAAAACATAAGAGCTGTTCAATATCTTGATAACAAAAGGACTCCATTTCGAGTATTATTTTAGAGAATACGATATTGTAAGAAAGTGTGTTTCTTTTAGTTGTCCCTATTTCTTTTTTTCAATTTTCATATTCAATGAAGTTTTAAATTTTCAAATATAGGAGCCTGGTGTTCCAAAAAGAATAAACCATACAACGACAGGAATCGACAAACACGACGAAGGAAAAGTTCAGACATACCGAATTTCTACCAGGAAAATATCGACCTTCGATTATTTATATCTAAGTATATGGGCAGTAAACAAAGTATGTAAAATCACTGAATATCAATTTACTGTTCTTTATGTATAAAAAAAAACTACTACAGTAAACCTCGGTTATAGCGAAGTCTTGGGGACCTCTGAATTTAATTCGCTATATCCGTAATTCGTTATATCCGTATAACGAATTCGTATAACCATTATAGCGAATTCGCTCCATGTTTTTCTTCAAGTATTACTACCAACTATGTTAGTGAAGCAAATATTACGAGAAATATCTTCGATAACTGAGGTTTTCTTATGAATTGAATCTTATATACAAATGCTAAAAGGAAATAAAGTAAGTTCAATTTCTCATTTTTTTAATAATCTTTGAAAGTTCGTTATAAAAAATGTAAATTCCATTATATTAACCACAACGGGACTCAAAATCAGTTCGCTATATCCGTAAATTCGTTTTATCAGACTTCGTTATAACCGTAAAATTTTACAAATATTTGTTAAGAATTTTGCAGGGGACCCAGAAAAACTTCGCTATATCCGTGAATTCGCTATATCCGTGTTCGTACTAAACGAGTTTTACTGTAAATCTAAGATTTTACCATGACTTAATTTTAACTTTCCTCTACTTAAACCTATTTTAAGGTGGGATTATCGAGTGCTATAGTTCACTCCAAGTTCAAAAGATTGCCACAAGGAACATTATCATTAGTGAGGCGATGTGACTCTGAGGATTGTGAAGGACAGTGCGTGTGTGCTCCTCAAGACAAAGTGTGTCACAACAACGGGTCCTCTTGCAATGACGTTACTATTGGTATAAAAATCATGAATCAGACTGGAACTGCAACAAACTTAAAATTTTTCAATAAAAAGATGAAAAAAAATTAACACATGTAACTAAACAAACATTGAGATCGTTCGCTTCATTATTATCTTTACCTTTTTCCATAGGAAATACAAACAACCTGATCCAAGTTTCTGACGTGATGTCTGAAATTTCGGATATAAACTTTACACCAAGTAACACAGTATTGCAAGGTCGATGGTCAATAGTCCACAGACAAGGAAGTAAACCATTCATGTGAGAATATAAAGTTATCTACTTGTGCTTTACTAGTATCTAAAAAATAAAAACAATCACACTGAAACAATAATAATTGAAGAATTTTCTTAATCCGTTAGGATTGTAAGAAATATTTTTTGATTTTGTGCAAATTATGAAACACACGTAAATGACATACATAGTGAACATGCGTCAGGATCATGTGCTGCATGTGCTACAAAGAATAAGTTACATGCAATTTCTTAATATACATGTGTATTTCTTCTTTTGTCCCAGTATGACTGTGTCTTAAGTATGAAATTTTCTGTTGAAATGTTTGATTTGAATTATCTTATAAATGTGACCTATATATATATATTACAATATAGATTTGAAATGACTTATTTCAAAACATATTGTGTTCTTGACACTTGGAGTACATTTTAAATAAGAACAGGCTTGTGGTTTAGGCTATTAAATTTGAAGATTTATAGTCGGTGCAATTGATAATACATGTGTATTGTTTTTTTACAAGAGTAATAAACAGAAAGACTAGAGCAAAGGTCTTAAAATCAATGAAAATCCATTTTTTTAACACGAAACATCACGACACATTGCTATGTTCATTGTGATGATGTGCTGGATATTGTAAAAATTGTTTCATTCAAAATATCAAAGTGCTAAGTTTGGGATAAACTTTCAAAACGCAGTTGTTAATTGTTTTTTCATAGTGTGAACTTCCAGTACATGTAAAAAGGCATGGTGCTTTATCTTACAATTGCTGCTGAATTAGTGTCTGGAAAAATACGAATATACAACAATTCACAGTGTATGGTGTTTTTGTTAGGTACCAGTGGAGTGTTGGCTTTACAGACCATGACGTCCCTGCTGGAATCTTTGATCCACAGCATGAACGTGTTTGGCATGATGCAGGGCAAAACAATTTTATTATTTTCACCACTGAGCAAGGTATCCTTACTATGAAATATGAATGCAGATAACGAACAGAAATTAAGCTCAAAAGGGCATTGGAACAATACATATTAAGATCAGAGCACATACGTACCTCTAAAAACATCAGGGGTGGATTAGGTGATATGGAGTATTGGTGATCCCCTGTCAACCAGTCACATCCACGTGTGCTCCTTTATCATGTTCAGGCAAACAAAAGAAATCCGTTGACAATTAATATGCATTCTCTGTAAGCACCAAAAAATCTTGGAAACGACATGTCTCCGATTTTGATGAAATTTTCACCACAGGTGCACCTTGGTACAAAACCAGCAAATATGGTGTTAGAAGTTTCCCACGTGCACCCGGTTGCCATGGAGACGGATCCGTTGAATTTGGCCATTTTCGGCCATTTTTGACCAAACAAAAACATGAAAATTGAGGAAATATGAATGCATTTTTATCTTTATGTAGTGAACTCAAATATAAATCTTTGTATCATAAGAAAACATCAACTGTTAAAAAATACAGTGCATACCGGTATAACCAGTAATTCCAGAATTGACCCCACTCTTAGAAAACGGTTCGGCAAAATAGCATAGTTTCTCAAAATGTGAAAAATGGAAAATTTGGCATTTTTTGAGAAATTTCAGGTTAAATAAAAAAAATTGTCTACGGAAATTTTTCAAATCATATGCGTGTCGTCAAACGTCAGTATTAGTAGTGTCCCCTCATGAAAAAATTGGAGTGGGATCTCAATGCTATTTTTGGTAACATGTATCTAAAAATAGAAATATTTCAGAAAAATCCAAAAAATGAAATTTGGGCAGAGTTTAAGATGCCATTGCTAGAAAATTATGAAATGTACTGTAAAAGTCAATGTGCTAATGTCAGAGACTGGACACCAATAACTACCATGCATATTATTTTTAGGGATTTCCGTTTTCTATTTATAGCTTCAAATGCCTAAATATAGACATGTCTCAGAAAATGATGAAAAATGTCAATTTTTCCTCATTTTAAAGCTCCACTGAATCATAAATGATAAATATATGGATCTCTCTAATATTTCATCAATAAGAACAAGGAATAGTATAATATCTCACAAATTATTGAGGACAGGCTCTCATCTCTATAAATAGTACAAATGTCTAAAAATAGACACATATGAAATTAACTGTTTAATGTTGATTTTCCACTAATTCTCAAATTAGAGATGGGAAATTTACCGACTTACTGTCATTAACTGTAAATGATATTATGTGACTGACAAGAACAAAAGAGCATTCAATGGAATGCAGCATGATAAGCAGAGGTTTCCATTTCTATTTATAGTAACATGTGTTTAAAAATAGACGTACTGTAAACTATCGGAGAAATGACATTTTTTGTACTTTTTTCTAAAATGTTGGATGAATAATTGCTGACTGTCTGTTTTTAACTGCTATTGGCATATGGTGACCAACAAGTAAAAGAAGGCCTTATATCAAATAAAGAATGATAAGCAGAGGTTTCCATTTCTATTTATAGTAACATGTGTTTAAAAATAGACGTACTGTAAACTATCGGAAAAATGTAGTTTTTTGTACTTTTTTCTCACATTTTGGATGAGCAATTGCAGACAGTATGTTTTATTGCTATTGGCATTCAGTGACCAACAAGTAAAAGAAAGCATATATGAAATACAGAATCTGAAGCAGAGGTTTCTATTTCTATTTATAGTAACACATTTTTGAAAATAGACATTCTGCAAATTCTCGAGAAAATGTAGACTTTCGCATTTTTTTTTCTAACATCAGGGATGGTCAAAGTGCAGACAAACAGCTTTTATTTGTTATTGACAGAATGCGACTAACGAGTGTGAAAAAGCTTTAGCTAAAGTGTATAAGAATAATGTTTAAGGGTATTTTTTACATTTCTGCCTATAGTAATACATACAGGGTGTCCCAAAACATATGTTACACTTTTAATCATCTATAACTTTATCAAATTACAAGCATTCACAAAAATATTTCTTCATCATCTAGTGTATTAGCATATATTTTATCTGACAAACTTTCATGAAATTCTGTTAAATATTCAGGTAATTATGATGATCAAATGACGTCATCATATTTTGATGTGGAACTTTCATGTGAACAGCTGATAGAAATTGTCAAACTTTAATATGGCTGTAAATCTGCTACTTTAGTCATAAGAATCATGAGAAAACAACATCCTGTAATGTAAGTGCCCAACAGAATGCTAATTTACAGATTTGTGAGGGAGTTTGAAGTTAAAGGCAGCATAATTGACACATTTGGTAATTTTGGTCTAAGAAGACCAAGGAGTGCCCGCACCAAAGAAAACATTAAAACCGTTAATAGAGTAATTACTCTACTGAAACTTTATTTTAAAAATTAAATCACTTAGACGGGTCCTGAATGATCAAGATAGCACCTTTGGTAAATCTAGCGTTCATACAATACTCGAATTTGATTTAAAACTGTAATGCAGAATGTGAAAGAGACAGGAATTAGACGTTATTTAGAGTTGGCCCTTTGGATTTTTATAAGACCCGACTCTGAGAATTTAACAGATCGATGCATCGTCTTCCGATGAAGACCAAATTCCATTTTAACAGTGTTGTTAAAGAGAATCTTAAATTCTAGTGTTTGGTGAAGCCAAATTTTAATCTGGGAAAACCTCTAAACTGTTAGACAACTGTTAAAATGTTACATTTAAAACTTGGTAAAAAAAAACTTCAGAAATCGAACTCATACAATGTTAATTCCAAGGGACGTAATTTGGAACATACTGTAAAATGACCTATGTTATTATAAAGAAAAAATATTGATGATTGATAAAGACACTGTAGAAAATGTATGCTTGACAAAAAATTTATAAAGATTTAAGTATATATTCTAAATTTCATTAATGTAGCTTGAGGCAGTAAATTTTCATAACGGTTTAAAAGTGTAACATATGTTTTGGGACACCCTGTATTTATAAATAATCAGGAAAAGAAAGAATCATTCGCTTTTCTCAATTTAGGGATATGGAATTTGCAGTCAAACTTTCATTAGCTGTAACTGACATGGCTAATTGTATTCGGCGCGCCAGCGCGTCCACCTCATTCCAATACATATATCACAAAAGTATGTTCTCCCTGCATTAAAACACTCAAATGACAGCGATTTTCTTTATAATTTAAGCATTATTATCGGTCGCAGCAGCGGCAGATCTATTTGTGGTTGTGTAAGAAAGTGCACATTAAGAAATGAGACGTTATTTTTTATTTGTTCATGCACTTAAAATATTTTTTAATGATAACAAGCAAAATCATGGGTGAAATATTTTAAAAACTTGCTTTCAACTTAGCATAAATTATTGCATTTAAGTTTCAATTTCATTATAATTTCCCATCAGATAATTGATAATTTATGGTTAATATAAAAAGAGTTTACAATAGATACTCCCCAGCCTTGGAGTGTGTAAGATATGAAAGGAAATCGTAATGTTTTCCGGATAATAGTAAAAGTAAAAGTGCATTGTGAATTCAACTTTAAAAATTGTTTTGAATATGTTGTACAGCTGCAAATTAAATGATACAAAAATGTTTTTGTACATTTTGCACCGTAGCTTGCAGCATAGCCTATTATGCAGAAACAATGGACATTATCATGTGACAAAGATCCAGGATATCAGCATGTGGTTTATCTTGAGATGCCCACATTTTCATTTTGATGACAATAAATTCTTATTATTTATCACCTTTTCCTAGAACTTAAAATATTAAAATCGTTAAAAAAAAAGCCTGGAAAACGTCAGATATTTCGGACTACGTTTACTTTTTTTTACATTGAAATAATATATTATGAGCAAATGTGGTAAATTTTCTATTTATTTAATTTTTGATTTTTTTTTTGCTTTGGAGAAAACCTGAAATAAAAATGATTAAACTATTTCACCTTTGAATATCTTGACGTGCTTTCCTTGTATGCACGCTTTCAAAATTGTGAAATAAATTTTCCAAATGCTAAATTTTGTTTGCGGCCGATTTGATGCCTGCATCAATTCTACTTGTCGTTTATATTCAGGTCGACAGCCCAAGCCCGATTGATTTTTTTTTTTGTTAGGTGGATCCAGAAAATTTTCCTTAAGAGGCGGTGGCTCAAGAAAGAAAGAAAAAATGGTACTGAAAGAAGTTCAATTTTGTTATGACCCTAGAGTTTATTGCCATGAAAATCAAGTCTTTAACAAGGAGATAAAACTCTAGAGTCATAACAAAATACTGGTGAATTTTTAATATGTTACATTCATGTCGGAAGCAAATTAAAAATGAAGAGGGGGGGGGGTCCAAACATGAAATCCTATATCATGTGAGGGGGATTGAACTTCTTTCAGTACCATTTTTTAAACACTACCACTTACCCTTATTCGATTACACTGCAAAATGCCTGCTGAAAGGGGGGGGGGCTAAATCTACTCCTCATTATTTATAACCTATGTGATGTCTAACTTTAAACCCCCCGTTCCGACACCTACATGTATGTTTATACGTAAAATAAATTTATAAAAACCAAAAACAACAAATATTTTTAAACGCTTTAGTTAAAGTCTAGAGAAATATATACATGCCTGTATAGAGAGAGAGAAATCGAAAGTAAGCCAACTCAAAATATTTGGACAAATTTCAGATTACTTTTGAACAAATTGTGGTAAGGCATGCATGGATCAAAGGGGATCTGGATCCTTGGAATATTAATATTAAACTTTATTATAACCCCCCCCCCCCAAAAAACGAAGTTTGGGGGTATATAAGAATCAGCTTGTCCGTCTGTGTCGCTGTCCATCTGTCTATGCAAAAGTGTCCGATCCATATCTTCCTTAATGAGGAACATTAGAATCTATTACTCCACACAGAGATTGCCCATGACCTAAGTGTGTGTCATGATCTTGACCCAAGGTCATTTGGGGAACTTCAAGGTCACTGGAAGAAAAATTTTATATTTCATGTCCGGTCCAGATCTTTTTTATTGATAAACTTGGTAGGTTCCTATTTCACATAAAGATTGCCCATGACCTAAGATTATGTTATGACCTTGACCCAAGGTTACTTAGGGAAGTTCAAGGTCACTGGAAGAAAAATTTCATAATTCGTGTCCAGTCCATATCTTTCTTATGGATAAAATTGGTAGGTTCTCATTTCACACAAATACTGACCATGACTTAAGGGTGTGTCATGACCTTGAAACAATGTCATCTTGGGAAGTTCAAGGTCACTGAAGAAAAATTTCATAATTCGTGTTCGCTCCATATCTTTCTTGTAGATGAACTTGGTAGGTTCTCATTTCACACAAAGACTGCTCATGACCTAAGAGTGTGTCATGATCTTGATGCAAGGTCATTTGGGGAAGTTCAAGGTCACTTGAAAAAAAAAATTATTTGTGTCTGGTCCATATCTTTTTTATGGCTAAACCTGAATCTACTACTTCACACAAACATTGCTTATTACCTGATTTTCTGTCATGACTTTGATCCAAGGCCATTAATGCAAGGTCAAGGTCACTGACAGAAAAAGTTCATAATTCGTGTCTGGTCCGTATATTAAGTCTGTTTTTTTTATAAGGATGCGCCTTCGCTTCATTTATGAAAATATTATGAGCAATTACATTTGCATTAAAAATGTTTTAGCATTTCTCTCTTCTCTTACAATAAGATCCATTAAATATTCATGATTTAGCACCTCTGAAAATCCCAGCGGGGGTATTTAGTCCCGTTTGAACAGTTCTAGTTTAAACTGACATAGTGATTTGACACACCGGCTCCTAGGGAAAATTTTCTGGATCTACCTAACAAAAAAATTTCAATCAGGCTTGGGCTGTCGACCTGAATATAAACGATAATGCTTAATTTATAAAGAAAATCGCTGTCATTTGAGTGTTTTAATGCAGGGAGAACATACTTTTGTGATATTTGTATTGGAATGAGGTGGACGCGCTGGCGCGCCGAATACAATTAGCCATGTCAGTTACAGCTAATGAAAGTTTGACTGCAAATTTCATATATCTAATTTGAGCAAAACGAATGATTCTTACTTTTCCTGATTATTTATAAATATGTATTACTATAGGCAGAAATGTAAAAATACCCTTAAACATTATTCTTATACACTTTAGCTAAAGCTTTTTCATACTCGTTAGTCACATTCTGTCAATAACAAATAAAAGCTGTTTGTCTGCACTTTGACCATCCCTGATGTGAGAAAAAAAAATTGCGAAAGTCTACATTTTCTCGAGAACTCGCAGCATGTCTATTTTCAAACATGTGTTACTATAAATAGAAATAGAAACCTCTGCTTCAGATTCTGTATTTCATATATGCTTTCTTTTACTTGTTGGTCACTGAATGCCAATAGCAATAAAAACATATTGTCTGCAATTGCTCATCCAAAATGTGAGAAACGTACAAAAAACTACATTTTTTCCGATAGTTTACAGTATGTCTATTTTTAAACTCATGTTACTATAAATAGAAATGGAAACCTCTGCTTTTCATTCTGTATTTGATATAATGCTTTCTTTTACTTGTTGGTCACTATATGCTAATAGCAGTTAAACAGAGATAGTCAGCAATTATTCATCCAAAAATTTAGAAAAAAAATGACATTATTCCGATATTTTGCATCACGTCTATTTTTAAAACATGTGTTACTATAAATAGAAATGGAAACCTCTGCTTCTTATTCTGTATTTCGTATATGCTTTCTTTTACATGTTGGTCACCATATGCCAGTTAGCAGTTAAAAAAATTTAGTTTGCAATTGTTTATCCAAAATGTGAGAAAAAGTACAAAAAACTGCATTTTCCTGATATTTTGCAGTATGTCTATTTTCAAACATGTGTTACTATAAATAGAAATGGAAACCTCTGCTTCTCATTCTGTATTTGATATAAGACTTTCTTTTACTTGTTGGTCGCCATATGCCAATAGCAATTAAAACAGATAGTCATCAATTATTCGTCCGAAATTTCAGAAAAACGTACAAAAAACGACCTTTCCCCGATATTTTGCATTACGTCTATTTTTAAACATGTGTTACTATAAATAGAAATGGAAACCTCTGCTTATCATGCTGCATTCCATTGAGTGCTCTTTTGTTCTTGTCAGTCACATAATATCAATTACAGTTAATGACAGTAAGTCGGTAAATTTCCCATCTCTAATTTGAGAATTAGTGGAAAATCAACATTAAACAATTAATTTCATATGTCTATTTTTAGACATTTGTACTATTTATAGAGATGAGAGCCTGTCCTCAATAATTTGTGAGATATTATACTATTCCTTGTTCTTATTGATGAAATATTGGAGATATCCATATTTATATTATTTATGATTCAGTGGAGCTTTAAAATGAGGAAAAATTGACATTTTTCATCATTTTCTGAGACATGTCTATATTTAGGCATTTGAAGCTATAAATAGAAAACGGAAATCTCTAAAAATAATATGCATGGTAGTTATTGGTGTCCAGTCTCTGACATGAGCACATTGACTTTTACCGTATATTTCATAATTACCTAGCAATGGCATCTTAAACTCTGCCCAAATTTCATTTTTTGGATTTTTCTGAAATATTTCTATTTTTAGATACATGTTACTAAAAATAGCATTGAGATCCCACTCCAATTTTTTCATGAGGGGACACTACTAATACTGACGTTTGACGACACGCATATGATTTGAAAAATTTCCGTAGACAATTTTTTTTATTTAACCTGAAATTTCTCAAAAAATGCCAATTTTTCCATTTTTCACATTTTGAGAAACTATGCTATTTTGCCGAACCGTTTTCTAAGAGTGGGGTCAATTCTGGAATAACTGGTTTTATGCACTGTATTCCTTAACAGTTGATGTTTTCTTATGATACAAAGATTTATATTTGAGTTTACCACATAAAGATAAAAATGCATTCATATTTCCTCAATTTTCATGTTTTTGTTTGGTCAAAAATGGCCGAAAATGGCCAAATTCAATGGATCCGTCTCCATGGCAACCGGGTGCACGTGGGAAACTTCTAACACCATATTTGCTGGTTTTGTACCAAGGTGCACATGTGGTGCAAATTTCATCAAAATCGGAGATATGTCGTTTCCAAGCCCTATAGTAGGTTTTTTGGTGCTTACAGAGAATGCATGTTAAGTGTTAAAAAATGACATAACAATTTGTATGAACGTTGGATTGTATGTGCAACCAAGCTCATTGTACATGGATCGAACTTAGAATTTGCAAAATGTTGACTTATAACGAAGCTAACTTGTCAATAGCTTTCCTCGATTAAGAAATTGTCCATAGAACATGCTCTTGCGTAGATTCATAAACTCCATGTGGATTTCATAATGGTATATTGCTACATAAATCAGGGAAGTTGAAGAAAGAGAAATTGAGGTCTTCACATTTATCATATACATTTACCATATAATGTGTTTGTTATAAACTTGCTTTTCAAATTGGGACAGTGTATCTTATTTCCTTTCCTGATAAAAGAAATTTTATGGAAGCTTGTTTCTTATATGATAAACTATTGAAATACGAGTTTTAGAATTAAAATTATGGTCTTAAATGAAAGGACAATTTACACAAGTTTTTCACAACAGGTCAGTATTTGGAGGAGGGTGTATCATACTCTGTTTTTGTCAAAGCATGGTACAACCAAAATACCTATGCTGTCTTCAAATCAAATGGAGTTGTTATAGCAACGAAGAAGCCTACAGTTGTGAACATCCTTGGAAGCTCGGTAAATTTCTGTCAAACAAATTTTACTGAAGACAAACCAAGTGATATCACAATATACAATGATATCACATTAATCAGGAATGTGTTTACCTATTTTTACTTAGCGGAAGTGTTTTAATGTGATGAAATATTATGAAATCTTACCTTATGTCTTCTTTCCAAACAAATTAAGAATGTCTTGAAGTGAAAATATTGAATCTATACAAGTACTTTACATGACAATTCTCAGGGATAATTTTACTATTTGATATCCTGCTGTATTTTAGAAGAACATAAAAAAAGAGTTTTGTCTTCATTTTCATAATTAAAAAAGCATAATCTGACTCAATTTTATTGAGGTTCTATCACGAAGGCGGAAGGGCCATTCTTTTATTTTAAGTACTGTACAATAAGGTGTTTTCATAATTTTAATTAGTGAGGTCTGTCAGTTGTGACATATTTCAACCAATCAATTCCTACTTACATGTGAGATTATAACTACTACTTTTGCCTCAGATTTACATACCATACATTTTTTCGAAAGCTTTAATTATTATAATACAGGTAACAGAAAAAATGATCAGCAGCACGATGAAAGATGATGATTATATTAAAGATGGCATTGCGTTAATGGTGAATTGGACACATAAGTTTGCCGACGACAAAACGACGATTCAATCTTACCATGTCTACATTAGTACCATACCAGGGGGTCGGTACATTACTGGTTAATAGCATTGTTTAAATTCAAATAAATAACAAATTCGATATTTTCATTGTGTCTTGTTTTCAACCAGGTCATGACACGTGGAACAGTCATGACGACCTTCCTAATACAGAGACCACATATTTGGTCCGTAGACTTTCACTTTCACCTGGAGTTCAGTATTACACAAATGTGATCGCTTATGGATTTTCGGGAATCCACCACACAGAAACATCGGATGGGTTCAAAATTGACTTCGATCAACCGAAAGCCGGTATTGTTTATGATGGCACAGGTTTGTACGGCTATACTGCTTAATTTAAATCAAAAATACGAGATTTTTATGTTACTTATAAAATATCTTCATTCAACTTCAATTTTATGCCTCAGGTTTACACGACCTGGAGTTTCAAAATACTTCGAAATTGCTCGGAGCTAGATGGCATGGGTTTTTGGATACAGGATCAGGGATAAAGAATTATTTTTGCTGTTTCGGCAACACATCCAGTATATCCTCTATACACTCAAGTACTGAGTGCAACGTTAGAGTGTGGGAAAATGTAGGGATTCACACTTCTATCTCAAGAACACTTACAGAGGAACTCGGAATTGGTACAGTACAGTTATTTTATTTAGTACATGTATACTATATTTGGCATTCAGAAATGGAAAAGAAGAATTGTCAGAACACAGTGTACAATCAATAACATATGTTTCAGAATGAAGCTAAATTTGAACATACTTAGGAAAGCCAAAGTGCTAGAAATTCCAACTCTGTATATTTTAAAACAAATATTCCTTGTGTATATTTTTAAACGTATAATAATCATTGTTAACCTTAGTTTGTAGATTGCAAATAATAATTTCATACATGTCATTTGGCAACTGTTATATCACAAATTGCTAATTGTAAATATCAAACATAACATGCCATGTGTAATTTGTTATTGCAAGTTAATTATTTCAATGCAAAATCTAATTTTAAGTGTTTAATTATTTGGTGTTAGCATCATGCAAAGTTGCACAAGTTGCAAAATCGAAAGTCTACAAATAAACGTTAGCAGTGATATAACATGCACTTTACATATTTCATTTGACAAGATATGATGGATTAAAGTTACAATTGACAAACCATAATGGTACAATGATAATTAAATGATGATTTACAATCTATAAATTACGTTTTACATGTGTACATAGCCTTGAATTATTTGAATTTTGAAACTTTCGCTTCCCATGCTTACTAGAAAGAGTTACTGTATTCATTCGTTTTGATACCATTATTGTATTTTTATTTCATTAAGGGAAAACCTATTACAGCAAAGTATATGCTGTAGACAATGTGGGATTTAAATCTGACATCTCCGTCTCTGATGGCGTCACTGTCGACACAACGCCCCCGGAGCCTCAATATCTCTATCATTCCGACGAGAACCTACTCCAGAATCCCTCCTTCGAATTATCAAGAAAATCACTCCAGATAGAAAATGTTGATGGTCAAAATATATGTTTATTAAGTAATGACTATGTTCCTGATTTTTGGAATTTGACGCATGGCAGTTGTTCCACTATTGTTTCATCACTTAAGAATTTAGCTAGTGATGGAAAATCATTTCTCTTCGTTAGAGGAAGTTTAACTCAGGTTATCAACGGCCTTAAAATTGGAGAACTTTATCAAGTGAATTTCTTTACCAGCCATCTTCCATTGCAATCATCAACTGTAGCCAATAAAGAGGGATTTGTTAATATCGGTAAAAAGAAACACGTTTTTCTTCTGTATTCAAAAGCTTACAGACATGATGACCACGGCGTATCCAAATCCCGAGAGAGAGTTTCATGGCATAAGCACACCTTTTATTTCACTGCAACAAATACTGAGACAGTATTAGAGCTTGGTAGCACAGATACGAAGACAGGTCTTTTTATCGACCACGTGACATTACAACATGTAGAAAGGAACACGAATATCACTTTACAGACTTTTGTGTTAGCTCACGTCGTTTACTTGCATCAATGGGGTTCCATACATGGAGTCTGGAGTTTCTTTGAAGATTTTAGTCCAATCAAAGAATATCAATGGGCTATAGGTAATAAATAACACTTCCTTATTTTTTTTAAAATTGATTTAGGGTATGCCTTAGAGCCTCATATACTTTTTTCCACTATAGGTTATACACAGGGTGGAACACAGTTGCAAGGTTTCACTAGTGTTGGCTTAAATAATTTTGGAATAAACACAAATGTAACCCTCATCCATGGAACATACGTACACGTGACAGTGACTGCCTCAAATGCTGCTGACCTACATGGAATATCATATTCCCCTCCTATTCTTGTTGATTTGACGCCACCAGCTATTCTCTTTGTATACGACGGAAGACATCCAAGTAAGCTTTTTACTATAATATTGAAATTTGCTTCAAATTACTCATTATGTTGTTTCCAACTATCGTACTAGTAAATTAATCAAATATTTGTCAATTAAGGCGGAGATGAGGATGCATGGACAGATAATGAGGTTGCCGTTAATTTTATGGTGACGGATGAAGAATCGGGAATCGATTTTTGCGAATGGGCAATCGGTATGAAATAATCATTTTTAAACATTTTTCGAAATACATGTATATTTTTATTAAAATTTTAAAATACTTTGATGTTAAAATTTTATTAGAATATTTACACAAGATTTTCTTTTCGAAATGACTAGTCTCTTTTTTTAGGGTACCAGCCTCAGGGAATCGAATTACAGACCTTTGAAAGGTTGACAAGTAAAGATACTGTAGTGTCTAGAGACATTGAATACAATATGCTTGTAAATCGCACCATTTACTCTACAATAAGATGCCACAACAGAGCCGGATTGTTAGCTTCTAAGTCATCTGATGGGGTGAAGATTTCCATCCGTCCGCCATCAATTTCTCATGCTAAGATAACTGTATTGCCAATGTCCATTACTGAGTACCAAGCCAGCAGTCATTACCAGAGCACAAAAAGTAATGTTAGGATACAATGGTCAGGCTTTGAGGATTTTACTGGAATTGAGAAATACAAGGTATATTCGTGGCATGTTATTATTTGAATCCATTGGATATTTGTGTTGTTTGACAGATATTAATTAAATCTTTTTGTGCTTGATTGTAGATTACTTTCTCTGACAGTAAGACGACATTAGAAGAACAAATGTCTTTCCCAAGTGGACAAGACATTCAGATAGCCAATATTTTAAATATGGATATGCCAGAGGGTCTAAAGAATATTACCATTCAAGCAATCAGTAAACTTTTACTGACCAGCGATCAAGTACTATACAATATGACGGTCATTAATGCCAAACCATCCAAAAAGGGTATAAGAATTTTGATGAAATACGAAAAAATAGGACGATTGACTGTAAAGTGAGATGACTGAAATAAGCTGCAAAAAATTTAATATCTTGCAAATATTTTCTTATTGATTTTCTTTTGATTTCCCTGACAATGGAATGACAATGCAAGTTATCATTGCTTTACTTTTCTTCACTTATAGCAAGCGCTTCATTGATGGTTTCGTGGCATGCCGGGAACGAAGAATTTACTGTATCTTGGGATGGCATATTTATTTCCCAGTATCCTTTATACTATGAGGTTTCCGCCGGAACTGTGAAGGGAGGAAGTGACGTCCTACAATGGCAGGAGACCAAACAAACTAGCACCACATTTCATTTACCACCAACAATAACAAATCGGTCTAACCTATCCGTCCATGTTCTTGTAAGGGCTGTAACTGCTGGAGGAACGTATGAAGACATCGAGGGATTTATCGCGCTCCCAAAATAAAGTCACTGTGACGTTTCTTTGGTAGACTAACATTAAATTGAATTTTCAGTAGCCGTCTTATTTAATATTAAACAATCTTTAGAATAAAAAAATACGTACATTCTTGAATTTTTGGTTTTGATATTTGAGATAGTTTGGAGTCATCATTGTTCGTAGGGATCCAGTATTTCTAAACTGTGTGGGTCTGTCTTATACACGAACTTACATCCACACGAGTGATTTTTGTCAGTATATATATAGAATTATTCAATCTTTTGTTTTTTAGAGGTCGACCACGAAAATTAGTCCCCATAAGCTATAAAAAATGGTCGTCTGTGAACATTGACTCCCTCGAATTAAAATGATTCCACGGTAATCCTCTTTGATTTCAAATATTGATGGATTTTATCATCATATTTATTTAAATTCAATGTGAATGCCAAAAAATAGCCCCTTTACTACCAATATTACTTCATTTTCGTGAAGGAAATTGAAAACTATCAATTCCGTAAAACCTGTGCACAACTACATCGTAATATTTCATCACTTTGCTAACAATTCGATTACCCAGATTTTAAGTATGCTTCAAATTTGTAAAAACACGTCAAAGGATAGAAAAGAAGATCCTACTACAAATGGAAAACTTTTAACCGATCTTTCAAAAGGATTTATAAAGCGAACAAGCAAAAGAAAAATGTCCAAGGGTCGATCCGATCAATAAAATAAGAAAATGAACAGATTTAAATGTATTTGACTTATTGCACAATAAGATTTACTATTTTGGTAATATTATTTATTATTCTTAAGAACCCTCTCTACAATCTACACTGCACATTTAAGAGTTCTGATGCTATGGTATCTTTCTGTATTGAGAGTGATCTGCCCTTAGATTCAAATTCTAATAAATAGAAAATTACAATATTTTACTCAATTTATAATCAATTAAAGTATTCTTAATATTTTTTTTAAAAAGGCTAAGATAAATTAACTAGACATGTTATATACATGTATTTTCTCCATCTCGCAATTTAAGTATGGGTATATCACTTCTCCATTTTCGTGCCTTCCCTCCTTCTTCTCTCTTACTAGTACTCTGAATAATTTGACTCACTTTCTTCAGGAGCACATCGTTTCTTCTATTATAGTAAGGCAAGTATTTTGTCATTATATAGTCTTGGCACGTTTCTGACTCCAGTGAAAAAAGCTTATAATTTCATTGACAGTCTAACGGCCTCCAACAGTTCTTTCCTCTGGCAGGGCAATAATTTACAAACTTATTTGTAATATTTTTTTCAAATTTATAATGCCAGAGAAGGGACAGTTTTCGACCTATGACCATAACTTTGTAATTTTGAATTAAAATAAAATATCTTCAAATCAACTGATTTGAATGCCACCATGAGAAAAAGTGTATTCCTGTCTCTGGTGACAATACAGCCTTTTGAACCCCCATATTTGAAATATCTATTTTTCAATCATTCTTTTCAAAAGTGTTAGAAAAGTAAAATTTAAAAAGATGGTATAGGCTTTAAATAAATTTAAAATATATATCTTAAGTTAGTTTGTTAAAAAAAAATTAAAACCCATTAGGTCCATAAAGGCAATAAAGAATTTTGTGTCTGTGTATGTAATAAATGACACATAGTTCCTATGGACAGAGTGCAAAGTGTTAAGTTTTCCATAAATAACGACACTGAATGCTTTGTATGCTCAATGACATCATAATAAACAAATGCATACTTGCTAAATTATTTTCAATCAATCAAAATTTTTTCAACAGATATTTGATAATTAGAATTTTATATTGGTGTGTAAAATTAAAACCGGATCCATAAAAGTGTGGACCTTCCTTAATGCACGTATCGTATTGATGAATAATGACCTAAGAATTATTTGAAGGTATTCCTATTCTCGTGTCCTGAAAATCAGGAGTTGTTTAATTGAATGTCTCCGAATCCTCAAAATAATTTGTATTTACCAATGCTTTTTTCAAAATAAAAAGTAAATAAATTATGTTATATAGGGAATATGCCATCCGGAACACCTCGGGCCTTTCACTGTGAAAGGCCCGAGGTGTTCCGGATGGGGAATATGCGAGGATCAAGAGGGGGGGGGGGGGGGGGGCCAGACCCCCTGGAATTTGCAGAACCATCAAATGAAAATTTTTGCACGAAAAGATTTCAATTTCAAGCTTTGATACAATTTTATATCAAATAAGAATTTTAAGAGGCATCCATTCACTAATTTGTTTTTCTTGGTCACGACTGTCACTATCAAGAAAATAATTTTTACTCGATTACATCTTTAAAATGTTTTATTTAAAAGTAATTTTAAATTCAAGGTGATAATATTGGACTCAA